TATTAATAAGTGGAATTAAAATTAGCAAATCATGAACATAAATACTTATTCACTATTACCTAATACCCTTCCAAATCATTTCATTCGCATTCATTTAGTCGGTGAGTATAGCTTTAAAATCACAACGAATGTTAAAGATGATAAAATATTTAATGATAAAAAATTTATAAAGAAATCCTGAATACGGCAAATGCCCACATTGTAATGAAAACAACATGTATGAAGCATGGTGTCAGACATGTGATCCAGACATTTTAATCCAAGGATGGACAAGTAGAAACAAGAACATTGATGATTGTATCAGAGAATTTCAACTTAGAACCATTGATTATGAGGATATAGTTGAATGGATTCCATTCAATAGATTATCTAATATTAAAGAAATTGGCAGAGGAGGATTTGGCTCCGTATATTCAGCAACCTGGTTAGATGGTGTACGAAAAATTGATGTTAGACAAGGTATTAAGAAGTTTTTTTCTAGCAAATATAAAAGAAAACGTAAATCATCCAGCATCGTTGCGCTCAAGACCTTGCCCAATTCTAAGGAAAACCATTTAAATTTTTTGAAAGAAGTAAGTTAATTTGTCGTTTGTATAATAATCGAATATTATTGAACTAATTCATTCTAAATTTATAAGTTTAAAGATCACATTATATGTAAAAAATTTGGTAATGTTGAACTTAAAATATTTGGAATAACTCAAGATACAAAAACAAATGAATACTTGATGGTTATGCAGTATGCCGATAATGGAAGTCTTAATAAATATTTAAGAAAAAATTTTAGAAAACTTACGTGGCAGGATAAATTAGAATTACTTCAAGATATTTCATTTGAATTATATACTATTCATGATCAAGCAGAATACATTCATGCAGACTTTCACAGTGGTAATATATTGCTAGATCAACGTACTATGCAATCTTATATCGCAGATCTAGGATTGTCTAGAAAGAAAGATGAAATTGTTTCTGATGGTGATATTTATGGAGTCATGCCCTATGTTGCACCTGAAGTTTTATCAGGCCAACAACAGTTTACGCAAGCAGCTGATATTTATGGATTCGGAGTTATAATGACAGAAATGTCAACTGGGCTAAGGCCTTTTGAAGGGCATGAATTTGATCTTAAACTTGCACTTAAGATCTGCAATAATACATTACGACCAGAATTTGCACCTGAAACTCCCAATTGCTATGTTGAATTGGGAAAGCAGTGTATGGATCCAGATTCAAAAAAACGACCTAGTGCTTTGGATATTTATACTAAAATTACTGATTGGGTGACGAAAATAGAGGATTCAGATGAAGAAAATGAAATCAAAAAGCAGTTTTTAGATGCAGACAAAATGATTAAAACGTCGTCAATAATCACACCAAGCCATCCAGATCATATATATACCAGTAAACTTATTAGCACAAAAATAATTTCAAATGCGATTAAAGGTATTCATTTTTAATTTATATACAGTATTATGTTGTATTCATTTTATTTAATATTAATATTTCGTTATTTAGATTGTTCTCAAGCTGATCCTGCTCAACTTAAAACTTGATATTACTGATTAATAATTTTTAATTGAATCTGTTTCAGTTTTAAGTTTAAAACTTTTTGTCTTCAATTCTTATAAAAAATCCATGGTATAATATTATATTAGATAAATTATGTTCGTAAATAGCTTTTAACCCAATTTTTATTAAATAAAATATTTTAAATTCATTAAATAATTCTTTTAAAAATAATGCTTGTTATGTTCAACCAATCATGTCTCGATGTTGATAATTTAATTCGGATTACCAATAGCATAATTCGCAGATTAGCGTTATAAAATCGAAGCATATTTTGCGTACCGGGGTGTTCCACGCCATATGATATACTAAGTTGAAATTTTGTAGATCAAATTAATTAAGGCCAATTTCTTGGTTTTCATAATATAAAATTTTAAGTGACCCGGCAGCCTGGCTTTTTATTTTAATTTATAAAAAATCATGATTTTTTAGAAAAAATATGAAATGTTCATGCTAGGCACATTAGACATTATGCCAAGCATTAGTGCCTATGGTATGCCTGTACACATAGGCACAAAAGCACTGCTCTATTATGAATATACTGTAGACACTTTTGTATCAGAACTAGATAACTATATATAAAAAAAGTAGTGAGCGTATTTGTGCCAGGTGCTTGGCACCCATACCAAAAAGTAAACAACCCAGAAGTTTTTTGAATTTTTATGGCTACAACCTACTTAAATATTCCAACTTAAGTTACTTACTAGTAGACTATTATTGAGTAGAAATACTATAAAGATAATGACATAAGTGCATGGCAAAAAGTGCCTATCGTTATAGGTAAAATAGTGCTAGGTACTTTTAAGGCTAGGCACCAAATATCTATGCCATTTTTGTGCCTGCGGACTAAAATTTTTTGTTAAGCATAGGCACATGCCGGGTTGCAGAACTCTAGTTATCATACTTACTCATCCAAACCTCAAATATTTTTAATTAATTAGAAGAGGATCCGAACGGATCTGGTATTTTTAATAAGTATTTTAAATAAAGGACTTTAAGTCCCACTAATTCAGATCTAAATCTAATCCAAATTCATTTATATAATGAGTTTGAAAGACTGCTACCTGTTGCTAGTAGTGTGTTTTCTTCTCTAATTTACATATACAGTTTTAGTTCTGTAAAATACCACTTTTATACCCATTAAAATACCGGATCCTTTGCTGTGGAACACTAAGATTATCAATGGTCATAAAAAATCGATTAACTCATCAAACTGATTAGTCATGAGATTTTTCTTAAAATTTCACCCAATCTTGTAATTTAATTGGTTGCGAAGTAGTGTTCAGATCTGTTAAACTTCATACGTATGCGGATTATCCGAATAATACTAGATAACGGATAAAGTTATATTCAACGAATAGTTTATCCGGATAATGTATATTTATTCGGATAATCTAACGACATTATCAGCCACGAACGTTTGTTCACTTTCCGTATTTGTCATTAAGAGACACTGCAAATTATTGTCTGTTTCACATTCATTAACTTCTAATTCCTATCAAATTACCATGGAATGCACATTTTTCTAATGCGGCAAAGCAATGAAATTGATTTCTGCTATGTCGATAAGAATGGCAAATCACATACAATAATTGTTGTGCTGAACAAGAATTAAAATTCAGATTATTAATAAGTTCTTTCAGTTACGGATTCTTTCAATTAATCATACCAGAAGAATCAGAAGAAATCACAAAAAGTAGAAGTATAGCTATAGATTCAAATAGGCATATTATAATATATTATAATATGTAATGATTCAAACACTACCTGGTATAGACCCGGATAAATACAGATAATTCGGATAATTCGGATAAGTTATCCGAATAATGAACAAATATAGATATCGGATAATGTGTTTATTCAACAGATAATTATCTTTGGTATAGCTAATCGTCAATCGATTAATTGGTTAATCGATTAGTGATTAATAGTACGGTTGTAAAAGTCAATCGATTATGCCAAGGACATATCAGTAATCTGTAATTCTATGTACAGTATACTTTTACATGAACGAAATGATTGGTAAAAATGTGCAGGACACTCGTGACAGACGATAATTTATTATAAGAGTGAAAAATAAAATAAAAAAAAGTTATTCAAAAATCAGAGTATCGTGCTGCCAGGTTAGTGTGGCTGACTTAATCAACCTTATCAGTTATTCGAAATACTACGTATAAGTAGTTGGCCATATATGAATTTTTAAAAAAATTTATTATTAATGTGCACAAATAAAATGAATAAGTAATGATTGTCGGGAGGACCAATTTTATGACGTATTACGTTCTTACGTAGCATTTGAGTGACGCCAAAGGGAAAAAAACACTTCGGGAATTTAACTTATCAGACCTTAATCCTGAAAAATCTGATAAGCGACAATAGAACTAATTCTATACGTCATTATATCGATATATGCAACTGATCAGTTTTTTTAAGGGGCTAAACAATAAGCTATAAATTTCCCGAAATCTGGTTTTTTTTTTTTCCAGGTAAATTATTTATCAATTCTATAATCGATATCAGATATTTGATATAACTTAAAATCTAGTACGTATACTATAGTATCAAAGTATAATAAATTATTTGTTAAACGAATTTTTAATTTGTATTTGTAGATTTTGATCAATTCTTGATCTAAACCTAGGGTTTTATTAAAAATTCAATGCAAACCAGTCGAATATCGATGGAAATCTTTCTAGTACAAGAGTCAAGAACTAGGAACACGTTTATATTAAGCGAACAAACCAAGAATATTTCTTATAAGTACGGATATATCAGGTATCGTAGTCAGTGTAGGAAATCTGATGTTCTCAGTGTTCTCTGAGAACATTAATTTTCCAATTTTTTATTTAAAAAAAATTGCCTGATAATATTAAAATCAGTTTAGATTTCCAACACTGATCGTAGTATGTACTGTACGTACGTACGTACGTATGCACCAGATTTCTTTATTAGTTATCAGTTAGATCGTCAGAGTGCATGTCTTAAAACTATATCTTGGTAAGATTTCATCAAATAAAAAGTGTGGGGCGTTAAAGATTGTTTGATAAGCTATATTCACATTATGTTATTAATAAAAAAACATTACGTGACGAATCAATGATTGCATAATTAATTTTTTTTGGTGTTACAGTTACCGTGCGAATCTTAAACAAAGAGTAGAATGATGTAATTACTGAAATTAGACTAAAACATATATATACAAAGGCAATTTTTATCCTTATTCTTCTTGATATTAATAAAATAAATTCGATTATAAACTGCTTTTTTTTTTTCTTTATTTGAAATAAAAATTCTCTTCAAAATTTTCTGAATTTGCCTTAATGCTAGTAAGTACTTTAAATATTTACTTGATTTTTTTTTTCCTTTTTCACACGGTATTCTAACTGTTTATTATTAAAAAAAAATTAAAATTTTAGAGAATAAATATATCAATGCCACCCTTTCAAACTTTAGACCATCATACAGGTAATTATTTTTCTTAAATGTACAGCATTAATAATTATAATTTAAATTAATTAATCAATAATTCATGTATTCTTAATAGATGAAGCATTAGAAAATGAAACTCCGGAAACCCTTAATGAAAAAACATGGGCTGATTTAATTGCTTTATGCCAAGATCGAAGTATGTTTCCTATTTTTATTAAGAAATTTAATTGAGATTTGATGCTAAATATTTAATCATGCAGAGTTAAATGCGGAAGGTGATAAAGTCACATTAATACAACGACTTTTGGATTGGGTAGATATTTGATATATTTTAATATAAATATATATATATATATATATATATTTTTTTTTTTTTTTTTTTTTTTTTTTAATCTCGTTATTTTTGTCAATGTGAATTAATAATTTTCAATATTCTAATTTTTAAAAGAAATTAAATACACGCCCAGTTCCTGCACCTTCAACTCCACGTCTTTTTTCAGCAGACGGGCCAAATAATTTGCGACAGGATAAAATAAATTCCGTATATATGACATCATTGTTTCTTGATGATGATGATTTAGCAAGAGAAATTCGTTATAGTGAATTGGAAATAGGAAGAAAATTGGGATCAGGTGGATTTAAAGATTGTTACATTGGGCGATATAAAGGGGTAATTATTATTTATATATGTATATGTATTATTTTAAAACTTGAAATTTTTAGAATAATTAATTTTGAATGGATTTTAATAGGAATCTGTTGCTATTGGAGAACTTCGAGTAGCAAATTTTTCAGATACAGATTTTAAAGAAATTAAACATGAAATAAATGTTCTCAAGTAAGATTATACAGTATATATGCACCTATAATTACAAATTTAATAGTAGAGGTTAAATATCTAATTCTATGTGAATTTAAAAAAATTTCATAAAAAAGGCAGCTACGACATGAAAATATCATACGTTTCATCGGTGTATCGACGAATACAAAACATTTATGCATTGTTACAGAATTATGTGATAATGGTGATTTATTTGATTATATGAGATTGAGTCCGAAACCATCGTTTACTCAAATGGTGGGTGTTTCTCTTTATGTGATATATTGAACTCAAAGATAAATATAAATGAATAAAAAGATTCTACTAATTTTTCGTGTTCATTTTCGCGATTTCTAAATTTAGATAATGTATATGCATGATATTGCACTGGGTGTTTCTTACTTACACACGCGACGTCCTAGCATTATTCATAGAGTAAGTTGTAACTCTTTTTTAAGCAATGTCTAAAGCAATTCTAATAAATTTTAACAATATTAATATATTATCATTTATTATTATTATTATTAGGATTTAAAATCGATGAATATTTTAGCAAGTATTTCTTATTAACTTTTTTAAATTTTTAATCATTAATTTTTTTTTAATTGACTTTTATCATTAGATATCCGCCGATTTTAGAGTAAAAATAAATGATTTTGGTCTCGCTCGTATTCGACCCAGAGCAAAGGCGAGCGTGCATACACAATGTGGTACACCGAATTGGCAAGGTAATTAAAATTTGTAAAGATCAAAATGTTAACGTTTGGTATTATTAAAGATTACTTATATATAAGTTTTATAGCACCTGAATTTTGGTCACCTAAGCCTAGTTATACCGAAAAGGTATATTTTAATTTCGTGAAAACATTTTTATATAATTATATACAACTTTTTAATTTTATTATTTGATCATTTGTTAATATTGTTTAATTAGGTTGATGTAAGTATATTTTTGTAAAATTTCTTGAAACTCATAAATATATAAAAGTAAGTTAACATTATATTGTTATTCGCTTTATAATAGGTATACGCATGTGGCCTTATATTTTGGGAAATCTTGACATGGGCTGAATTTGGATATCCATATCAAAATTTTTCTGAACATCAATTGTACGAAGCAGGTATACATTAAAATAACTTTTATTTATTTTATTTATTAATAGTAATTATTTTTTTTGCAAATTTAATTATTGTATTAATACTATTTTCATAATTCATCCAGTACGAGATAAAGGTGTTCGTCCAAGCTTGGAAACTTTAAAAATATGTCCATACAAGTTATTAAACTTGATTGAGACTATGTGGAAGACAAATCCAAAAGATGTAAGAATTTTACCCATTACTTTTTACTTAATTATTAATTGTTTTTTTTTTTTTTTTTTAAACTTATGATATACAAATTCTTTAATAATTATATAGCGGCCTAGTATGGGAATCGTAGTTGAACAACTTGTAGAATTTTTAACTTAGTTTAGATTCTTGAGGACTCAAGTTCATTATCTTCAATCAGTACAATTATCGCGAATTACAGAATTATAAAAAATATTTAATATCTGTACTAAAAAGTTCTACTTATTTATATATATAGTTAAAAAAAAAAACCAAATTCATGATAATTTTCATTACCTCATTTGTTTCATCATGGTATTTCAGAAAACGAGAGTTATTTGTGTAATATTTTTTTTCATTAGTTGTATATTAATAAATGTGTCGTGGCTGGTGCTAGACATTGGATCTTAATATTCTGTTGTATAAATAATAATTTTGTTAATATTAGAGGATACGTTGTCCTCTAACATTTATAATATATATATATATATATATTGTTTTGGGGGGTATTGCATAAATTAATGTACAAAATGTAGGTATGTAGTTGTATGAGTTGATGATAAAATCCTTATAAAGAATCACTCCAAAACACAGTTAATTATCCTCTTCGATTTTTTTATTAAATTCTGAGATATGATCCCAATCCTGGCATCTTCCCTTTGACTAATATCCAAAATTTTTAAAGGATATTTTAAATGTTCAACCAAAACTTCAAAATGACTTTCTGTAAAATTATCACAATAACGAAATCTTAAAAAATCGATTTTAGTTTGAATATTATTAATGAATTGGGTAAATGAAATAACAGAAAATTTCCAATTCATATTAACTTCAAATTCAATTAAATATGGTGGAAATTTTCTGGTCATTAAAGGAAGTATTAATTCAACATCAATAATACTAGTAGAATTAAATTGAAAAATTTGTTGTGAATCATTATCTGTTGGAGATTTTATATCCCAAATTTTGAAATGAATTAATTGTTGACATGTTGAAAAAAAATCTGGAAGGTTGGAAACTTCTGAAGCATAAATATAAGCAGAGAATTTTAAAAGATTTGGATTATTAAGAGTACATATTCTTATAGTATCTTTTAATATATTTTTGTTAGAAGAAAGAGATCTTTGATCCAAATGAAGATATTTTAACGATTGACCAGAATTCGTTAATATTTTACAAAGGATTGAAGATGGAATTGGAGATAATTCTATGGATAATTTAAATAATTGATTGAATGATGTAGAATCAATATCTTCATAATCTTGATTATTACCAAAATTTTGACATCTATCAAGATATATTTCTTGAAGATTTATACATGCAGCTAGTTGTAAAAATGGAAATTCTCCTTTAAAATCAATCCAACCAAATTTAACTTTTGATAAAGTTAATATATGATTAATAAATGATTCAAAAACTATTCGAAAATCCAAAACACCGGATTGATCACGTGTCCTACATTCACTACATTTTGGGTGTTCATTCGTCAAAATAAATTCTTCAAGAGATTTTTGAGAGTCTACAAGTTTTGTTAGGTCAGCAATTCTTTCGGATGAAGTTGGATCAAATTTTGGTATATGATTACTAATAGTGATGTCAAGTGTTCGAACATTCTTTGAAACTTTAGATGCTGTAACGAATAATCGAGTTGGATAATCTTGATCAATAACAACCAAAGATTTTAATTTGTAAAGACTAGATTCTGCACCAGAAAGTTCAAAAATATTTATCATGTTGCTTGTTTCACATTCTAATAATTCAAGATTTCTAGCATGAAGAATAAAAAATCGACAAAAAGTTTCATAAATTATTTTAAAATCCACAGAAACATATGGTTTATTTCTCAACCAATTTGTAGTAGCATAACCAAGATTTTCAGTTTTTAACGATCGAAGATATAATACATAATCACGGGAAGGTTTTTCATATTTGTTAATAAATTTATCATTAATAAATATATTTCGTTCTTCTCTTGGAAAATTAGAAATATAAATATCAAGTAATTTTGTCGCAGGTTCTGACCACCACTGACGTTCGAAAGGATGTCTCCACAAAATTGGAATTGCTATATCACACCAATGTCGATTAACTAAGACGCAAGATAGTAGGTAAGAATAAGAAGTTGTTAAATCTAATGGTCGTAATTCTTCAAATATACGTTGGAGACATAACATTGGCAGCTTCGCGGCCATCAGAGTTATTTAAAAAAAAAATAATAACCAATTTTACAATTATTAATCAAATGTAAAACTGAAAAAATGTTGATAACGAGAAAAATTAATTCATAATATATCATATATATATATTTATACTTATTCTTGAAGCTTGAGTTACCTAAAGTAGATTAGCTGAAATTAATCTAATTTAAGGGGCTTAATTTGGGCTAAATGCATATTCAGGTGCTCGAAAAGTTGTAACTCCAGGCATGTGTGGGACTCGTATACCATATAAAGGATTCTTTATTAATTTCTTTGTAAGAGTAAATCTTTGATAAGGTGGTTTGACATGTTATCCATGTATTCATGCATTCAGATACAGTATAGGTTTAACTCGTCAATCCATTAAGTCGATCCATTTGTTTGGAATTCTGATAAGTAGTTTTAGGAAATAAGTGTAAATCGAACCAACGGTAAATAGTTAAGGGTTTAAATATCTTTAATGTATAAAAAGTTAACACAAATACATATTCTTATCTATATATTCTCTTTTGATCTTTCATAAAATTGATACTGATAATTAAATTATCTATCATGACGACGATGCTACTTTAAAAGAATTTATTCCTAAATGCCATTATAATTTAAAGAAAAATAATAATAATAATAATAATAAAGGACAAAATAGAAATCAACTCCGTATCGCATGCTTCATTCCTTGGAAAATTTCCCGAGAAGATATTTTCTAACCTTCGATTTTTTGCGTAATACATTTTGAAATTATTATCATAACTTTATTTTACAACACATACAATATAGTTGTTATCAAAGTAAACTGTATCACCTATCAATTTTTTTTTTTTTTCTAAATGACGGCTAAAAAATTAACAACCTGTCATTTTTTTAAAAAATATTTTATTGTACGCGTTTACGTAGATCCTAGTTGGCTTTCATATGTTGGTCAGGGTCACGGAATTTATACGAAATTATGTATGAAACTTCTATAAAATATTCGGTCTATTGCTGATTAAAAACGTTTAATTAAAAAATTTTTTAATTAAGCGGTCGTTTCTGATTTATTCATTATTAAAATCTGCACTTTTTAAATTAAAAATTAAAAACATAGCAGAATATTGAATCATATACTAAAAATGTAAGGTAAAATCATGTGGTTTAGTGTGATCACACTAAATCAAATAATTTCCGTGTCCAAAGTCCTATTTTAAAATTAGAAGCATGCTTCTTTCGCTTTGTTAAATATTAGCAAAATTATGTTGAAAGTCTACTTATCGAAGATGATATAAACCTAGGGTAGTTGGCAAGTTTGTCAACCACACTAATTATAAAGCATAACAGTTTATACCGCATCTAATATCAAATATTTCGATGATGATACCAAACTTTGAATAATATACACTATTTAATAATTGTATATTGATTATTCTTTGCTCAAATTATTTATTACATTATTATGCTCGCAAAAAAGAAAAAAAAATACCGTATATTATACGATGAATTTTTTCATTTTCTTTCGTCAATTTAAATTTTTATTCTTGTTCATTCAAAGCACTTAACAATTTTTCTTTAAAAAGTTTTCATATTTCTTGCAATACTTGAGTATCTTTGTAGACATAAACCAGTGACTTAACTTTTTAGGGGAATACTAGGTTCGTTGTTATTATTTAGCAAAAGTGCTTTATTAAATAATTATGAATTATCTATTATTTCTCTTTCTTTTTCTTGAACAATATTAAAATAAAATTTCAAATTGAAGTTACTCAATACAGTATTTCGCACGCGACTTGCA